CGCCCCCACGCCCAATCTGGCATTTTCACACACCCAGTACAGCGCTTCGTGGCCCAAGAGTGAGCCCCACCGCAGCTCCCAGTGGGAGTGCCCGCATGCGTCCCCCACACCCAACTTGGCATTGTCACCCACCCAGTACATCGCTTCGTGACCCCATAGTGAGCCCCACCGCAGCTCCCAGTGGGAGTGCCCGCATGCGTCCCCCACACCCAACTTGGCATTGTCACCCACCCAGTACATCGCTTCGTGACCCCATAGGGGGCTCCACCGACCCCCCCCAGTGGTACCGCCCGCATGCGTCCCCCACACTCAATTTGGCATTTTCGCGCACCCACTACAGCGCTTCGTGGCCCCATAGGGAGTTCCACCGAAGCTCTCAGTGGGACCGCCCGCGTGCGCCCCCCACGCCCAATTTGGCATTTCCACCCACCCAGTACATACAGCGTTTCGCTTCACCGAAGCCCCCAGTGGGACCGCCCACATGCGTCCCCCACACCCAACTTGGCATTGCCACCCACCCCGTACAGCGCTTCGTGGCCCCATAGGGAGCCCCACCGAAGCCCCCAGTGGTACCGCCCGCATGCGTCCCCCACACCAACTTGGCATTGTCACCCACTCAGTACAGCGCTTCGTGGTCCCATATGGAGCCCCACCGAAGCCCCCAGTGGTACCGCCCGCATGCGTCCCCAACACCCGATTTGGCATTGTCACCCACCCACCCAATACAGCATTCCGTGGCCCCATAGGGGACCCCACCGAAGCCCCCAATGGGACCGCCCGCGCGCGTCCTCCACATCCAATTTGGCATTTTCACCAGCCCAGCGCAGCGCTTCGTGGTCCCATAGGGAGCTCCACCGAAGCCCCCAGTGGGACCGCCCGCATGCGCCCACCACAGGGTTTACAACGCTTCGCGGCCCCATGGGGAGCTCCACCGAAGGCCGCAATGGGACCGCCCGCATGCGTCCCACACGCCTAATTTGGTAATCTCACCCACGCAGTATAGGGAGCTTCGCCGACGGTCCCAGTGCTACCGCCGCATGCATTTCCCCCCCCCCCCCAGCGCAGCGCTTCGTGGCCCGATAGGGAACTTCACCGAAGAAGATATTCACAATTGCGGTACCCACAGCTTCATATGTCGGGGTCCTTCGCCAAGATAAGTTTGTTTTGTTATGCCGACGAGCTTGATTGAAGAAGTTTGTGGAAGGTTTCCGGAGGCAGCGTTTGGCAGACAACCTCCCCAAGGAAGGTGTTTGTAAGGCTTTTGGGACGAAGCCTCCCCAGAGAACGTTATGTAGGATCATGTTCAAACGGCCTCTTCTGGGAACCCATGAAAAAAAGACCTTCTTCAGGCAGGTTTTGCTGTAAGGTTTTCGTCGAAGAAGCCTCCCCAAAAAGCTTCTGAGGACGGTTGTTGGGGAATATTTTGAGGGAGCCATGAATCAAAACCTCTTCGTGGAAGATTGTTGGCGTTTTTTGAAGGGCGCGCTTTGTGGGCGCTTGGAGAGGGGGGGTCCAGAACCGACCCCCTCCAGGGGAGGCAGGCTTCGTACCCCCCCCCCCGCCCGCGGGCCCCTGCGCTGGCGCCTTCGCACGCTCCCCTCCCTCTCCTGGGCCGGCGCCGGGGCGGGCGCCGGCTGTCGGCGGCGGCGGGGAACGTCGACGAGGGTTCGAACCACTCCCCAGTTCCTCCAGGAAGGCGGCGACTGGTGGCGACGGCGGCGGCGGCGCCAGCGACGACGACGACGACGACGACGGCGACGACGGCGACGACGACGTCGACGGCAACCAACGACGACGACGGCGAAGGTTTCTGGAGGAGACCTTCTAAAAACCTTCGTGGAGAAGGTTTTGGAAAGTCGTTTGGAGGAAACTTTCCAAAAACCTTCCAGAGGAAGGTTTGTGGGGAGGTGTTCTGAAGGGTTTGGAAGGTTGTGGAAGTTGTTTAGAAGGCACGTTGGAAGGTCGTCGGCGGGTTGTTGGAAGGCTTTCTGAATGTACCCTGCGACGTACCCAACCCTTTCTGTACATGTGGTAGTTACACTCGGGACCACTCAATGCTGACGGACACTGGGAAACCCGCAGTGCGGAAGAAGAGCCCCCCCAGTGAACTCAGAAGAGCGCAGCAAGAAGAGCAGCGGCAACGCGTAAGACGTACCTCCGCTGGGCCTCCCAGGAGCCCACGAATGTGGCAACAGTTTCGCAGATCGCAGCCCCCCAGGGCGCCGCGAGGTCTCGAGGTGGTCCGCGTTGGACGTACCTCCGCAGGGCCTCCCAGGAGCCCACGAAAGTGGCGACAGTTGCGCAGATCGCAGCCCCCCCAGGGCGCCGCGAGGTCTCGAGGTGGACCGCGTTGGACGTACCTCCGCTGGGCCTCCCAGGAGCCCACGAAAGTGGCGACAGTTGCGCAGATCGCAGCCCCCCCAGGGCGCCACGAGGTCTCGAGGTGGTCCGCGTCGGACGTACTTCCGCTGGGCCTCCCAGAAGCCCACGAAAGTGGCGACGGTTGCGCAGATCGCAGCCCCCCAGGGCGCCACGAGATCTCGAGGTGGTCCGCGTTAGACGTACCTCCGCTGTGCCTCCCAGGAGCCCACGAAAGTGGCGACAGTTTCACAGATCGCAGCCCCCCCAGGGCGCCGCGAGGTCTCGAGGTGGTCCGCGTTGGACGTACCTCCGCTTGGCCTCCCAGGAGCCCACGAAAGTGGCGAAAGTTGCGCAGATCGCAGCCCCCCAGGGCGCCGCGAGGTCTCGAGGTGGTCCGCGTTGGACGTACCTCCGTTGGGCCTCCCAGGAGCCCACGAAAGTGGCGACAGTTGCGCAGATCGCAGCCCCCCAGGGCGCCGCGAGGTCTCGAGGTGGTCCGCGTTGGGACGTACCTCCGCTGGCCTCCCAGGAGCCCACGAAAGTGGCGACAGTTGCGCAGATCGCAGCCCCCAGGGCGCCGCGAGGTCTCGAGGTGGTCCGCGTTGGACGCACCTCCGCTGGGCCTCCCAGGAGCCCACGAAAGTGGCGACGGTTTCGCAGATCGCAGCCCCCCAGGGCGCCACGAGGTCTCGAGGTGGTCCGCGTTGGACGTACCTCCGCTGGGCCTCCCAGGAGCCCACGAAAGTGGCGACAGTTTCGCAGATCGCAGCCCCCCAGGGCGCCGCGAGGTCTCGAGGTGGTCCGCGTTGGACGTACCTCCGCTGGGCCTCCCAGAAGCCCACGAAAGTGGCGACAGTTGCGCAGATCGCAGCCCCCCAGGGCGCTGCGAGGTCTCGAGGTGGTCCGCGGTGGACGTACCTCCGCTGGGCCTCCCAGGAGCCCACGAAAGTGGCGACGGTTGCGCAGATCGCAGCCCGACGGCACGAGAGAGGAGGAGAGGGGAACACAGGAGACAGGAAAGGAGGAGGGGAGGAGGGGGGAGGAGAAGAAGGAGGCCAGGGCGACCACACTGCTCTATTCAAAACGAGTACCCAACCATAGGAGGGTTGGGAAAAACAGTCCCAAACAACCTTGCTCGCCCCCCCCCCCCCACGGACCCGGGAAAACATTCCAAACACTTTCAAACATTTTCATCCAGGAGGGGTTCCGCGAGTTGCCGCCCTGGTCTCGGATTGATTGACGAACGATGTTGCAATCGACCTTCTCTCCAAATTCTCGCTCCAGAGCACCCTATAAGAGTTTTCTTCATTGCGGGAAAGTCACCGTTGGAAAACAACGGTTTGGAAATCCTGAACCGTGCGAGTATACGGAGTTCAACGCTTCGAACCCACGTTACAGTTGCGACCTGATGATCCTAAATCGTGCCCGAATAAGATTGCTGGGACGTCAGCACCGCGAGCTAACGTGACTGTCGCGCCCTGACTCTCCGACATCGTGCCACAACATCATTTCTGGGACGTCAGCCGTAATAACCTGTGAACCTGATGTATATTGTCAAGACGACTGCGCGCAGCGTCAAACAAGCTGTGGAATTGTTGCGTGCTGTCAAGACGAATGTGCGCGTCGCCAAGGCGAGAGACACATTGCGAACACGACCCGCCGTCAATGTTTGAAAGTGTTGCTCGCATTTGCGACGAATGTGCACGTCTCCGAATCGATAGTCGCATTGTGAACACATCCGCCCTCCATGCTTGAAGTTGTTGTAACTTTCTAGCTTCAGGATCATAGATGGTGAGGACGTCTCAGGCGAACAGCCCAGCGCGCCGCACCGACCCGTGTCGGGGTGCGGCAGGGATGAGTTGTTTATAAGGAAAGGAGATGGAGTAGGGAGGACGGGGGAGGAGAAGGAGGGCAGGGAGGATAATGGAGGAGGAGGAGGAGGAGGAGGAGGAGAAGGAGGAGGAGGAGGAGGAAGAGATGAAGGTGGACGATTTTGTTCATTTAACACGAGCACGTCGGGTGCGTACCCGCGCGTTCGGGCTCGGGAGCGGCTCGAGGGTGTCGATGGTGACGGAGTGCGCGGTGTTGGACAGTCGTCGTCGTCGTCGACAGTGTTGTCGACGTCGTCGTCGTCGTCGTCGTCGTCGTCGTCGTCATTGGTCTTGCAGTGTTCGTTGTCCCGCTTGCGTTCTGCTTGATGGCGTTTCCCAATCTGGCAATTGATACGACGCGCGGACCAACGCGCCAGGCTTTGTCCGCGTCCTGCTCCCGTAGTGGTAGATTCGGGGGCGTCCAGGAGGGGAGTGAGAACTGAACATGTGCGTATCATGGCCAGGGCCACGAACTCTCTCCGATTTCATGGCCCCATCTTCTTTCAATGCACCCCCTGGCCTCCCTTGGTCCGCGCACATGCCTCGGGCCATACTTCACTGACCCGTCTAACCCCTATCTTCCTAGCCCTCCTCTTCGGCGCATTCGGTCGTCTTTGTAGATGAGGAGGCCGAGCTTCCATGATCGCCGTGGGTTTGGCTGCACCGAGTTCTGGCCCGCGGGTGTTGGGCACCGATCGCGCCCGTCTCGGCCTGCTGTTCGAGTGGGTGCCCTCTTGAGCGGCGTTTGGCGCCAGGGGCCGCGCTCAGGACGTCCAGGAGGCCTTCGACGCCTACAAGGAGAAGGCCAACGCGGCCCTCCAGAATGGCGCCGTGCAGAGTTGGGGCCTCGGCTTCCCGATCAACGGTCGGGCCGTGGCCCTCCACGCAGGGCTCCGGGGAAGAGAGTGACCCCCACCGGGAAATCGGTTTCGGTTTCGTGTTCATGTCGTGCGTGCGGGCGAGGCGAAGCTGCGCGTGATCCTCCTGTAGCTAGGCCGAAGTAGGAGCGGAAGTCCGTTCCCGTCCGCCGGTGGCTGGGAGGTGTCCCAGTTGGGCCAGGCGGTGTCCGGGGGGTCCCGGGTGTCAGTAGGAGCGAAAGTCCGTTTCCCGTCCGGCGGTGGCCGGGAGGTGTCCCAGTTGGGCCGGGCGGTGTCCCGGGTGTTTTGGGTGTCCCGGGCGTCCCGGCGCTAATGCATGTCGCTAATTTCAAAATTCATGTTTTTCGGGTCCTGCGGCGGGCGTTCTTATCCAATCCAGCTTATCTGCTCCAATCCATCTTGTCCAATCCAATCCATCTTATCTTATCGAACATAGTGTCCCGTCTTATCTTATCCCACCCAATCCAATCCACCCAACCTTATCCATCAATTTATTTGTTTCTGCGTCTGCGGCGGGCCAATCAAATCCATCTAATCTTATCCAATAAAATTCTTCCAATCCAACCCATCTTATCTTATCCAATGCATCTTAACCCATCCAATCCAATCCACCCAACCCAATCCATCAATTAATTTTTGTCGGCGCCTGCGGTGGGCTCCTTTTTTGTATCCAATCCAGCTTAGCTTATCCAATATACAGTGTCCAATCCAATACATCTTATCTTTTCCAACCCATCTTGCCCCATTTTATCTTATCCCACCCAATCCAATCCGTCCAACCCAATCCATCGATGTATTTGTTTCTGCGCCTGCGGCGGGCCAGTACAATCCATCGTAACTTATCCACTTTCTCTCTTCCAATCCAGCCCATCTTATCGTATCAAATCCATCTTATCCAGTCCAATCCAATCCACCCAACGCAATCCAGGGAGAGAGAGAGAGAGAGAGAGAGTGCGAGAGAGAGAGAGAGTCAGAGAGAGAGAGACGGAGAAAGAGAGATATGAGATCAAGGTGACAGGGTGGAGGTCCGTCAGGGTGGGCATTTGATCTCAATCTTCCCCAACCTCCTTATCGCCCGCAGGGTGGGCGTATAGGTATAGCACGTATCTGCGACGTCATTGGATTCGAAGATTTGTGTTCATCGGTGTCAGACAGAGCCCCCCCCCTCAGTGCTGGAGGGAGCTCGGACGGAAGGGGGGAAAGGGCAAGGATGAGGACGGGGAGTGGGGAGGAGGAGGAGGAGGAGGAGGAGGAGGAGGAGGAGGAGGAGGAGCAGGAGCAGGAGGAGGAGGAAAGGACCCACGATCTATGTGACGTTCCCTAGCCAGTCTCTGCCCGTGGGTTCCAGGCTCCCTGATATTTCCTCCATGTTCAGGCCTCAGGGGCCCCAAAAGTTACGACATTTACAGGTTTCCGATGACCCGCTCGGATTACAAACATGAGCGGCGGGCCCCATAAGGAGGGGGCTCCCGCCTGAGACTTCCTCGCAATTCACTCATAGACGAGGGCTCCTGCGTGATACTTCCTCCATCTTCAGGCCTCAGGGGGCCCAAAAGTGACGGCAGTTGCAGGTTTCCGATATCCCGCTCGGATTACAAACATGAGCTGCGGGCCCCATACGAAGGGGGCTCCCGCCAGAGACTTCCTCGCAATTCACTCACAGACGAGGCTCCCGCCTGAGACTTTCTCCATATTCAGGCCTCAGGGGGCCCAAACAATTACGACATTTACAGGTTTCCGATAACCCGCTCGGATTACAAACATGAGTTGCGGGCCCCATAGGACGGGGCTTCCGCCTGAGATTTCTTCGCAATTCGTTCACAGACGAGGCTCCCGCCGGAGCCTTCCTCCACATTCAAGTCTCAGGGAGCCCAGAAGTGACGACAGTTACAGATTGGCTCCCGCCTGAGACTTCCTCGCAGTTCACGTATAGACGAGGATCCGCCTGATACTTCCTCCATGCCCAGGCCCCTGGAGCCCAAACGTGACAACAGTTACAGGTTTCCGATGACCCGCTCGGGTTACAAACATGAGTTGCGGGCCCCATAGTGAGGGGGCTCCCGCTGGAGATTTCCTCGCAATCCACTCACAGACGAGGCTCCCGCCTGAGACGATTGAGTGAGGCAGTGAATGAGTGAGTGAGTGAGTGAAGATGATATTGATGCTGCTTTTGCTGCTAATGATGATGATGACAGTGCTGCTGCTGATGATGAATATGATGATGATGATGATGATAATGCTGCTACTGCTGCTGATGATGATGCTGATGCTGCTGCTGATGATGATGATGATGCTGATGCTGATGATGATATGAATGATGATGATGATGATGATGATGATGATGATGATGATGATGATGATGATGATGATGATTATCATGATGATGATGTTGATGCTGATGATGATGATGATGCTGTTGATGATGATGCTGATGCTGCTTCTGCTGATGCTGATGCTGCTAATGATGATGATGATGATGATGCTGATGCTGATGCTGATGCTGATGCTGATGATGCTGATGCTGCTGCTGCTGATGATCATGATGATGATGATGATGATGATGATGATTATGATTTTTATGATGATGATGCTGATGCTGATGATGATGATGATGATGATGATGGTGATGGTGATGGTGATGGTGATGATGATGATGATGATGATGATGAATGATGATGATGATGATGATGATGATGATGATGATGATGATGATGATGATGATGATGATGATGATGATGATGATGATGATGATGATGATGAGAGTGTTAGTGACAGAATGGGCGGGTAGGTGGGTGAGTGAGTAGGTGAGTGCGTGAGTGAGTGATGGTGATGAGTGCGTGAATGAGTGTGTGAGTGGGTGAGTGGGTGGGTGAGTGAGTGAGTGAGTGAGTGTGAGTGATGACGTGTGTGAGTGGTTGAGTGAATGAGTGTGCGATTAGAGAAATGGAGAGGATGTTCTTTCCTGCGCGGGGGGGTGCAGAGAAAACAAGAACCCCACTTGGGATGTGGAGAGTACGGACAACGTGTAAAGCAACAACTTTTCTCGAGCGTCCCACCCTCCACGGGGGGAAGTGGCAATCGAACCCCGTCCGGAAGAAAACAGTCGTCGGGAGCCAGGAGACCGGCCACTCCTGCCGACGTCGCCATCCCGCCGATTACCCCTCGGCGACCGCGGGCGCGCAGCATGCAATGGAGGGCAAGCCGCGAGCGCCGAGCGTGTGGCACTAGAAGGCAGGTGAAACAACAAACCGCTGAGCAACAACCCCGGAGGAGGAAGGACAAGGAGGAGACGGGGGAGGAGGTGGAAGGCCCGCTCACGGCCCCCAAGGCAGCAGGCGCGGCTGGGAGCGCCCCCACGCCCGGCCACCAGCATGCTGTTCGGCGTCGCACTGCTTGACGTCTCAGCGCAGTTCCGTGCCAGAATGCTCGCCATGCCACTCCGGCAGGTGGTAGCCGCAAGTCCCGGCGCTGGCGATGCTGCTGGCACAAGCGCTGGCTCCGATGCATAGCCACATAACCGTCCCGTGCATGAGGCTATCGGGCATCGGCTCGAACCAGTCACGGGCCCACCAGGTCGCAGTTAGCTCGGGAACGTGCAGCACCTGCCACTCGCTCCGCAATTGGCGGCCTGGTCCGCTCGCACGTTCAAGAATGAGATGGCGTCGATGATGTCGTCGGTGCTGGCGTCGGTGCTGACGTCGGCGCTGGCGAAAGCGCTGGTGTTCCTGCTGGCGTCGGTGCTGCCGTGGTGCTCGTGTAGGCGCTGGCGATGGTGCCGGCGTCGGCGCCGGCGGTTGGCCTGGCGTCGGTGTTGGCGGCTGTGCTGGGTGGTGCAGGCACTGGCGCGGGTGCTGGCACTAGTGTTGCCGTCAGTGCTGTTGCCGGCGCCGGCGCTGGTCCTGGCGTGGGCGCTGGCTGCTACGGAACTGGCGCCGGCGCTGGTGTATGCGCTGGCGTTGGTGCCGGTGTAGGCGCAGGCGGTGATGCCGGCGTCGATGCTGGCGTCGGCGCCAGCGTAGTAGGCGCCGGCGATAGTGCTGGCGTCGGTGTGGTGAAGATGTCGGTGCTGGTGCAGGCGCTGGCGCTGGTGCCGGCGAAGGTGCTGGCGTTGGTGCTGGCTTCGGAACAGGCGACGGCGTTAGTGACGGCGGGGGCGCAGGCGTTGACGTTGGCGTCGGAGCTGGCGTCGGCGCTGGCGTAGACGCCGGCGCTGGTGCTGGCTTCGGTGCTGGCGCTCGTGCTGGTGCAGGCGCAGCCGTTCGAGCCGGCGTTCGCTGATGCTGGCGCCGGTGCTGGCGTCGGTGCTGGCGTCGGTGCCGGCGTAGGCGCTGGCGTTGGGGCTGTCGGCCGTGCTGGCGTCGGTGCGGGTGAAGGCGCAGGCGCTTGTGGCGACGTAGGCGCTAGCCCTGGCGCTGGCGTCATGCTGTCATCGGCGCTGGTGTAGGCGATGGTGTTGGTGCTGGCGTAGGCGCAGGCGCTGATGCAGGCGTCGGTGCTGACGTTGGTGCTGCTGGCGTAGGCGCAGGCGTCGACGTTGGCGACGGCGCTGGCGCTGGCGCTGGCGTAAGCGCCGGCATTACTGCTGGCGTCGGTGCGGACGTGAGTGCCCCTGTATGTGCTGGCGTTGGTGCCCGCTAAGCGCCAGCGTTGGTGCTGTCACCGCTGCTGGCGTTGGCGCTGATGGACTTGCCGGGGAAGGCATGGGCGTGGATGCTGGCGTCGGTGGTGGCGCCAGTGCTCGTGGAAGCGCTGGCATCGGTGCCGGCGGAAGCGCCGGCGCTGGTGCTGGCGTCGCTGCTGGTGCCAGCGCTGGTGCAGGCGCCGGAGTGGGCCTGGCGCAGGCACAGATCTAGCGCAGCTGATGGCGCCGGTGCTGGCGTAAGTGCTGTCGGTATGGTGCTGGCGTCGGAGCTGGCGCCGGTGCCGGCGTAAGCGCTGTCGGTATGGTGCTGGCGTCGGT